GGGCCCCTCGCCCGTCCTTCTAGGGGTTGGGTTTGCTCCGGGGCCCCCCGTTCTGAATCCCTGTTTTGGTGGCCCCCCCCCCCCCCCCCGCAGGTCCCCACCTCCATTCTGGATTAGGTGCCGAGTCTAGATATTTTTAAAGTACCAGGTACATAGGGATTTTTAAAAAGCATTGTCATATTGCTTTTAAATTATTTATTTTTACATTTTTCTCACTAAATTGTGAGCTTGTTGAGGGTGGTGACTGCGTCTTTTATTTCTTTATCCTTGGGCGCTAGTATGATGAAAAACTCTTAAAAGGAAGGAAGTGCTTCATTGTTTAACTCACAGATTACGAGCTTTGTTTTTTCTCTAAGGAATTAAGTTCATTTCAAGTATAAATTATGCTTCAGAAAGCACCATTCCGAATATTTAAAAACTTGATTATCAGAATATAAATTTTTAAGTCTACTATTTTGCTTTAATGTAGTAATGATATCCTGGTGGCCTGATGTATTTAACTGTACTTAAAGTACCCAAATTACCCACTGCAAGTAGTTTATCTGCTGAAAAGGATCTGATCCATTATCTCATTAATCTTCAAGACATTCTCTCGAAGTAGTTTAGGGAACAAATGGTATTTTCATAACAGCTGGTCTACACAGATGTTGTGTTTTGACGTATAGTTTTAGCATTATTTTCTCTATTTGAATATAAAATGAAATAAGGAATGTTTGGCTTTTTAATACTATTTCTATGAGACACCATTAAATATTTAGAAGTAAAAGATTTGATCTTGACATGGCAGTTATTTTAGTCCTTAGTTGTTTTATGATAGCATTCACCTTTTAGTGAGTGTGTAGAGTGGTGATGTAGATATTAATAGGGAATGTTTGTAACTAACTAGAAGGTAATTATGAGGTACTGTTTATAAGGTTTTGATATTATTACTACTACAACCAGTAAATCACTTTTTGATATGATCAGAGTTGTACCATAATTTTTTTTTAGTAATTGAATTTCATTCACATACATGAAAATGCACAATTTTAAGTGTATATTATCAGTGAATTTTCACAAATGTATAATCCTTTGTAACTGCCACCCCAGTCAAGATACAGAATATTTCCATCAACCCAGTAAGTTCTGTACTGCCCCTCTCCAGTCAACCCCTCCCTACTGCTGTAAACATTCAGATTTTTATCAACATAGCTTAATTTTGCCACTTCTGGAAAGTCATATAGAAAGACTGTGTCTGATTTTGGGAATGGATTTTTTTCACTTAACATGTTTTTAAAGAGTACCCAACTGATAAACTCAGTAGCATGGGTAAGTATTCATAGTAAGTGTATTGGACGTAGAATTCATATTCAAAAAACATAAAGAACTCCTGAAAGTCAACATTAAAAAGGCAAACAAACTAATTTAAAAATGGGCAACAAACTTAGATGCTTCACAAACAAAGATATACAATGGCCATATTTATATTCATCTATGCTATTGTGTGTATTGGTAGTATATTCTTATTACTTAGTAGTATTCCACTGTATGAGCAAATCACAGTTTTAAAAATCTATTCTGCAATTTTGGTTGTTTTTAGTTTTTGATTATTATAAAAAAGGCTGCTTGAACCTTCTTGTACAAGTCTTTATTGTGGTAAAAAAAAATCAAAACTACTACCTTATCGATTTTTAAGTGTACAGTACATTAGTGTTAATTATATGCGTATTGTGCAACAGATGTTCAGAACTTTTTCATGTTGCAAAACTGAAGCTCTATGCGCACAGGACAGCCTCCCTTTCTCCCCCTTCTCTCTGCTCCTGCTTTAAGGTTATTGTTAGATTTTTTTTGCCCAGTCCCAGAATACGATTAACCTTGGTGGAAGTTTAATGTACATTTCAAAATAATGTTAATATTGCAATCATTGGGTCTTTTGTCTTCCAATGAAATTTAATTTTAGATACTTTATTTTTTTCTGTGATTTCCGTTTTTTTAAAATTTTGCAGTTTCTAAATATTTCCCTATCCATCTATTACAGCTATGATTTGCTGGAGAAGCTTTCACATATTTGTTATTTTTATTTGAAAGTTCTTGCCTGTTAATTCCAACTTGTGGATTGTTTGAGACTTTTTTTCTAATTTATTTTTCTCTTGACCTTGGGTAACATTCTCCTGTTTCTTTTTGCATTTATTTAATAGTGTTTTTTTGCATGCCTATTAATTTTTTACTTTAACTGAGGTA